TCGAATGTCGATCGTACTTTCGATCCCCGTCCAAGGTCGAGATATTCGTGTCCCTGTTCGTGTCCAACCTCTCATTATCCACGATTATCCACGTCGAAGATCGAGCAAGCGTCCCCGCGACAAGACAAGCTTTTCCACATTTTCTCATCATCGTTCCAGGGATAGACGATGCTTTCGTTATTGTGGCCCGTTGCGGCGGCGCTATCGCGAACGACTTTCGCCACCCTTCTGCAATTTGCTATAGAATTGCTCTTGCTTCGGGCGTTACAATGGCTGGTTGGTAACGCGATAACTTCTCCCCCCCCCCCTCCTCTGCAAATTTCATTTCGAAGTCCTTCCCTTCGAGGAGGAAGGCTCGATATTCCCCTATCTTTTACTTGAAATCTGAACGAGAGAGGGAGAGAAAGATATTCGTTCTCGTTAGAATCGATCGATATTTTATTCCATTTTGGATTAATTGTAAACAATCAAGGATAAGAGATGGGGATTGATTTTCACGGTCAAGATTGCTGCTCATGCTTCTATCCACGTTAAATCCTGCTATTCTATTTATATATGACATCACAAAAGACTCATTTATGATTCGCCTTTGTATAAGGCGTACAGTTACCATAGCGAAACTTGCAAACTTTCAAAGTAGTTCACAGCGGCTGATATTGTCTCGAACAAGTCGATTTCTATATTTTAATCAACGGAGAAAAGGGAGAGAAAAACACGACGCGTAAATATATATTGCAAATATATATATGTTTTCTTTATGATGTTCTAATATCACGTATTATTTTAACTTTCTAAAACGAACAAGCTGTCGCGACAACGATTATCCCGCTCTACTTGCCGAGCCAGGACAATTTTACTCCACTTGTTCGACCATTATTATTAGCCCATTCTCCTCGCCTGCCTATATAACCAATTCGTTCCACTTGTCTCTCCACTGTGGCCGTGAATACTTTATTCCACTTGTCTATATCGCGACATTATCCCGTTTACTAGATCTACTCTACTCGTCCGACCGTAACTATACTTGATCTACTTAATCTTCCTCTATAACTGTTCATTCCACTCATCACGATCGACGTATCCTCGCCTCGAAGTCTGGCCATGAACCATAATCTACTTTATCATCGGATCTGTCTCGTCCTATAGAGCTACTACGCTCCATTCTACTCGCCAGACCGTGACCGTTTCGAGATGGACGATGGTTACGCGTCTCCTCGGTCCGAGGAGAGACAATCGAGCGTTTTCCCCTCCACGCGCGGAATATACGTGGAACGCACGAGGAATCGATTATCACGGGCCGGCACCTGTACCATGCCGACACGTTTCGTGCAACGATCCATTACCCAATTAACGGGGGAAGATTAATCGTGGAAGCGAGCGTCGGGATTATAAGCCGTTGGCAAATAAGAAAACGACGAAACGAAAGTCGCCAAGGGTGTCAAGGTTGGACAATTTGGCCTCGAGCTACTACGGTCGGATGATTTACTCGGCTCTACCCCGAGAGAAAACTGTTCCTCGTACTACGGAAAATACGAAATTCCATGCCCGATGCTTCGATCCGTAAAAAACCTCGAAACTTTTCCCCCTGCGCGAGTTTATTCTTTATTTATCAGGGGTTTATTTTAGAATTTATCGGATATAGAAATTATATAAGAGAAACAGTGTTGTTTCGTGATCGATATCTTAAAATAACTTTTTAACTCGGGAAACAGCGCGAATAGTGTTCGTAAAGAATCGGTTCGTGAGTTTTGCCCGCTCTGAGGGGAGGTGTAGAATTCTCGAGGAATACTCGACACGGCTGTGGCACGGTGGAGGGGGGGGGGGGGAGAGGGAAGCAAGGTAGTACCAAAGTAGTTCTATATATAGATTGCATCGAGGCACGTTAGAGGGTTGGCAGTTGATGACGAGAAGCTTTTTTTTAACCCTCCCCCCCCTCCCCTCCAATGTTAATGCTCGACTCGGAAACCGTGTCAAGGACAATCTCGATCGTCGTAACTCGACACTTCCGTAACTTTCTTCATTGGAAACGTGGAGGTTCGTGGGATTTTCGTGGGAGGATTGAAGGAAGATTGGGGGAGGAGAGAACACGATAATTTTATCCATCGATGGAAACTCGAGGGTGAGGAGAGAGACAGGTGGACGACGTTTCACGGAGTCGAGTTCGTCAAAGTTCGTTCTCGACGCGGAGGAGTGCACTCTCCTGGCTGAAAGCCGGAAGTTCGCGTCTCCCCAGAACTGAATGGAAGGGTTTAAGCAGCGCGACAAACCTCCCCCGCCGTTCCTCTTCTTCCGTCTTTTTCTTCTTTTTACTGAACGCGCAATTGATTTCACATTTGGATTCCCCTTCGAACCTCTCGATCTTGTTCGATCTTGCTCTCTCCACCCAACAGAGATGGATCCTTTTCCTTCCTTCTCTCCGATTCGATAATTTTGTAATAATAGCGACCTCGAGCATGGAACAGATATCGATTCACTAAATTCGGCTCCTCCGATACCGTGATTCTTAAACGATAGTAAAAACAACATCCATTCTATCTCTCTCTCTCTCTCTCTCTCCACCCACGCGAAATCTTCGAACGAGCACGAAGAAACGAACGCCATCGTCCACGTCTCGTTCGTTTTATTGTGACACGATATACGCGTACACGAATGATATATATATATATATAGGGTGTTGGGAAAATGGTTGATTCTCGAGGATGGGGAGGGATGAATTAAGCCGGTCGGAGGCACGGTTAATTCAAAGCCCGTAGCTGGCCGTATCCCGATTGAATTTCCATGCCGAGGAAATCGGGGAAGATTGTGGGTTGCGGAAATGGAACTTCCGGATTGTTCCCTCCATCGTGGCTCCCTCCTCCACCTATTCCGAACGCGTTCTCGATTCAACCGTCTCGCGCGTTATACGCGTTTCGTTAGGACGCCTCTAATTACGAAGCAGCCAGTGAAATCAACCGCCGACCCGTTGCTCGAGGAACGCGGGGAAAATTATCTCGTTAACGGGATCTCGTTGGGGGGAGGGGTGGGGGGTATACGCGCATCGAGGGAGAAATTGCGGATTTCTAAATTAGTTTTCCAACCGCGAGTTTTTCTGTTCGTCACGAAACGTCGTTGTTGTGGACGATAACGAAGTTTCAATTATCGAATGCGTTCCCGCGATTTTAATTTTCATCGAAGAGAAGGAGAAATCGGTTCGGGGGACTATCGGTTGTTCCACTTCTTTGTTCCTCGAGCGTTCGCAGTGTGCGTTATACGCGAAGATTGCGTTGTTATATTATATTGTTCTAACGCGCGTGTATATACAAGTTTCTAATTATTGAAAGAGAGATTTTCATCTTGGAGAATCTTGGAGTAGGGAGTAGCTGGCCGGATAATTGTTAACTTCTTTGTTTCCTCGACAGTCGAATTATCGAAGATTGTGTTTTTGTGTTATATTTTGTATTGTATTGAAAAGAGAATTGAAAAGAGACCGGGTTGGATAATTATTTATTAACATCTTTTGTAATTCTTTTGGGACAGTTACATGATCGAAGATAATGCATTTCAATTTCGACGATGATTTCGTTGTTGTTGTTGTTATATTATCTGATTGTAACGTATGAATTTGAAGGGCGAGACGAAGGGGAGACGGGAGGTGAGGTGAAACAAAGGAGGAGAAATTTCGGGCGTCGATCGAAAGCGATCGGTGTACGTCGCTGCTTGCGTCATGCAAACATACAGACGAGCACAAGGAGATCGAGGAGAGGAGAGGGTGGAGGACGAGGTGGTTGATGTCGATTTCGTAGGTGCAAGAGGAGGGGGGGAGGAGGCGCGGGCGATTGTTCGCCGCGATTGAAATCACGCGAACCTTTACTTAACGGCGAACTTGCCAGAATTTCGAGAGCGTGGATATATTCCAAGATGCCATCTTTATCGAGCTCTAAGCTTTGCCCCTTCAGACCTTTCCTCTTAAAGGGGCGAGTTTCTAATGGAAATTCTTCACCGATCGTTTGTGTAACGCTTTCCCCGGATGAAATCGACATCGTTTACAACAAATATGAAAGGAAAGGGAAGGAAACAGGGACGATTGTTCGATTTGTTGATAATTTTTGGCGAGAGAAGAACAAGTGTTGAGGAAAATTGTGTCATTTAATCGTGAGTGATAATTGATGGAAAGGAGATTTGATTCGAATATGAAAAACATTATATCGAGCTTTAAAAGACAAGAGAAACAAGTTTTTATAAATAATGAATAATAAATATTGTATCAGATATGAAGTATGCGATCTCATAGGCGGATAACCTTGGCCAATGATATTACGTGTAGAGACGATATTATACTATCGCGAGAGTGACGGTAACGTGTCACTGTTAAATTCTTTCTCGCCAATCCGACTTTTCCAACTCGGCCGTCGATCGACCGAACCTCTTAAATTACCTAGTTTTCTCTTATTTCGTCCCGTCGTCCGACTCGTGACGTGGATTCGGAAATATCGATCGACGACGATGATCGTCAAGCATAGCGAAATAGCGTGACAGGTTCTCGATAGCAACGAAGGTCGTTGCTTGATTCTCCCCGAACGAGAGGACGCGATCGTAAACCTCGATAAGATCGTTGTTGATCTCGCATACGGCCAACCGATGTGCTCGCCTTTTATTCACGTTGCCATCCACGATGGGCCGCGGTCGCGTCGATAAAGAAGGGGATGGACGCGAAGTTCGATGATGAAAAGTCGCTCGTTAAACAGGAAGATGAATGTATTCGAACCTTGTTCCACCTTGTTCCGGATATCGGAATCCTGCTCATTGTCCGTGCTCGTCGAATCGATTTTTATGATGAAAAACCTCTTCCACGTTTGCGAGTTTCGATTATTTTTCCACCCCATTCTTTTCTCCACCCCATCCTCCTCGCGATGAATTCGCGTTCGACGCATTATTCTATCGTTTCACTTTCGCGAAACTTCGTTAAAAAAAGGAAAGAAAGAAAGAAAGAAATCGTTGTTCACGATCACGATTGTTTTCAGTTTACGAGCTTTTACGCGAACTCGGGGGCTATCTACCGCCGAAGAGCATTGCACCGGCCGACATAACACCCCTAGTTTCGAGGTTGTTGAGGGTGAACGGCGCACCCCTCTTCGACTTCTTCGTCGACGTGGATCTTTACGACCGGTCTAGATCGTCCGTCTTCTTGGATCTGCCTACGAAACGTCAAGAAGACGCTTTCTTCGCGGAGAATCCGGTGAGTGTATCCCCTCCACAACACAATCTCTTCACACACGCACAGAGTAGATCCTATATTTATTTATTTTAGTCTATAAATGTAATCTTAATTTTCCACTATAGAAAAATATTGCTCCTTATCCCTCCGTTTAAAGATTGAAAATTGACTTTTGATCGCTCGCAATATGCTTTTCCACGTCGAATGCACGACCGTTTAACACGATTAAATCTCCTATCTCGAGACTCTCGGGGTCGAGGCAAAGAACATTACTCATTGCTGTTCATCGATATATATATATATAAAAACGACGTATCGAAAATTACAACGAATCGATGGAGAAATGAGAATAGTAGAGTAAGAATTTTTGACGGAATGTTGTTCGATTTTCTTTTTTTTTTTTTTTTTTGGAAAATCGATTATAAAGATCTTTCTTCCACAAAGCCGGTGCACTTGAGCACTTGAGCGAAGCGGCACTTAACACGACTCTACTCTACATTCTACCTCCTCAAGTGCACGTGCATAAAATCGTTCGATATTTTTTCGAAAACAAAAATTCGACACACGCTTTTTTCACACACTTCCGCACCATTTCGTCTTGTACCACCATCTTTTCCTTTCTTTTTTTTTTTTTTAATATATTTTTTTATCTCTCTGTATAAGCAATTTTCAATATTCCATCTCGAATTTTCCGTGCAAGCGTGCACAACGAAATTTCTGAATCTCGGCGGCGTTCATCGATTTTCGAGGAAATTAATGGCCGCGTTTGCATCCGTTATCGAGATTCAGGATGAATACTTCTCGGCTACTAATAGATAGCACGATTAAACGGAGGAGCCTCGGTTAATTCCTCAAGCAAATGTGTGGCGAGTTTCGACACGCGGGCATAAATCGTGGCTGCGCGGTTTTCAGAGAATTTTCCTAAATCTGGTAAGCTCGAGCTCGATTCGCCGTTTCTATCATTTCGCTTGTCACATTCTTCGTCACATTCAATCGGTTAATATCAGGTTTAATCACGATTTAGCTCAAGCAAGCGTATATTTACGGATCCATCGAAGGATATTGTTTTAACGTTATATGAAAATCAAGAAGTTTCTTAGATGTCAGTCCTTCGATGATATACGTATATTTTAATATTTATTCGTCAGGTTTAGAATTAATTTTGTCTCAGTTTTTTCGTAGAATTGACCATCTTTTTCTTCCATCAACGATTTCAAAGATAAATATCGATCCCATAAAAGACAGAGAGATGATCATAATTCTCGTCGTTTGTTTAACCAAGTTTCCAAAAGATCCAAAAAAAAAAAAAAAAAAAAGAAAAAATATCGATCCCAGGATCATATTCCACCCATAAAAGGGAGAGATTAATCATAATTCTCGTCGTTTGCTTAATCTTAAGTTGAGAGAGGATCGATATCGAAGGAGATCGTGAAAAGTTGAGGCGTAAAGACGTTGGCCAGAAAAGTTTGCAACTTATCACGGCCAACAGCGATGGGAGTTGGTGGATGGGTGTTGGTGGGTGTATCGAGCCTCGTTTCAAACAGGAGAACGTGTCGGGCATTAATTATTACGCCCGTTCTTTCAACTGTTTTTCCAACGGTCGATAATCGCGTCTTCCTCCTTTCTTTCTTCGTGGAACACGATTCCACTCCTTGAAAGAAGTGGAATCCATTATAATACCATTTAAACAGATGTACATACGATATTTAAAATCATTTGATTCTTTCCTCCTCTTTCCCTTCCAAAGAGATGATATCGATCGTTTCCAGAATGTAGAATATAGATTTGAGATCGAACGACAAAGTATCGAGAAAGAGTCTCGAAGAGATTCGAGGAGGGAGATGGCGGCTCGACGAGGAAATTTTCGATCTGACCGGAATCGGATTATCCGTCGAATTTTGGATGCTAATTACAAGGAGGGGAGACGAAATTGCATCGGGGAAACTTATTGGGCCGGAAGAGAGCGAGGCCGCTTTTTAGGTTAAACAGTCCTCCAAGCTGAGATCAGGGAGAGACGTTGTGATTAAGTTTCTCGTTCAAGTTTCGCGATACTTTCCAACTTGCGCATTGTTCCAGGCTACTTGGAAGCAAGACAAGGCCGTAATTTCATCATCGGTTAAATCGTCGACCGGTGAAGATCTTCGAGAATCTCTTTCCCTCTGGAAACACCTCTGTGGACCGCACAGAAGTCGATTGTAAGCACGTATAAGTGGAAACGAGACCTCTTCGAGCGTGTCTCTCGATGCTCCTTCGCCTCGAGTGCTTTAACTTTCCTCCAAACGAGATCTCCATCTTCGTCTACTCTTTCTTTTAACCCTTTCGCTACTACGCTCTGCACAACATGCCGCGATATGACGATCATTGCACATCTTGAAGCAATAATCTTTCTCTGCAAATGTATCACGAATCAATCTTCTTTCTCTTCGATTAATACCAAAGCAACTTTTCAACCAACTCGAATTGTGAAAAATCCTTCCTCCCCCAAAACAGAGAAAGAGCCGTATGGAATTCCCCAATGTATACCCTCGAATACGTTCAAAGAGATGAACTCGTTTCCAAGAGTTCCAGGCGCGGAGGGGATTAATTACGGGGGCGATAAATGAAGGGAGCGGCGGTGACGCGTTAACCGCGGAGAATAAAGTTTCCTTTTTTCTTCTTGATGAAAGAGGCCTCGACGATGTATTGGAAAGGGGCGGAGGGATGTACACGGCTCCCATCTCGACGCCGTCCACCCCTTTTGTCCCTCCTTGCGATTGTGATAAGAGTTTAAGAGCCGAGAGGATTTTAATACTTAAGCTCGACAAAAGGGTTCACGTCGTGACGACACTTTAACTCGCCCGTTAGTGGACCCGTTGAAAAGAATGGCCGACTGCCGCATCGGGGGGGAGAGAGTATTATTCCCTTCTTTCTTTTTCGCGCTCTCGTCGACACGAGCTTGGCTGCAGTTCCATCGGTGTTTCACCTAACGACACCGTAATTCACGAGTCTTTGGCAGGGGAGACCGAGTTGCGAGTGTCGTATAAGTTCTTTTCTTCTTGCATCGAGTTAACGATACATTAACCCTTTGCGTTTCGATAGGTGAGGCGACAACGGCGAGATCTAAAAGCAGCCTTGTGTATCTTTATAACTTTGAAATGTAGAATATTCTTCAATTTTTCGCGAGGCCTCAACAGTTCGCGTTGCCCGTATAATTGAAATTATTATTCAAAATTTTTGCAATGTTTTTTTATTTTGTTTTTATGACAAAGCAAGATTTTCAATCTTCCGCAGAGGCGCCTGTATGCAAATAGTCCTGGAAGTCCAGTTGGTTGCTCGTAGTAAAAAATCACTCGATGGTTGTTGGTAGATTATGTTAAAAATTGCTCAGAGTGAAAAGGGTCGATATATTATCCTGGAACGGCTCTTGAATCGAGAATAAAGACGATTTCAAAATGTTGCGAACGTTCGAGAGGGACACGATTTTCGAGAGGGTTCGACGAGGGATCGACCGTTCAAATGGATCGTGAAGTTCGTTTATCTTATTAGCCGGAGTATTGGCGAAAATCATCCGAGTGTCACGAGGTTGGAGAGCACGTGTTCGATAATGTTCGAGCCACGAATTGAATATTAGGAAGGAGTAGCAGCGCTGCTGGTGAATTTCAATCAAACTGGTAGGGCGCTCGTGACGAGCTCGTTGCGGATGAATAATGGCCGTTCCTTGATCCACGTGCTAAATGTAGCGTGAACGTATCGTTGCACGGATCGATATACGGATTCTTAAGTGGGAGATAAGTTGATCGAGATAAATTGACGAGATTGTCCACGAGATTGTCCAACCGAATCAACCTTGCGAGACCATCTTCCTTCGAAGGAGGAAGGGATAAAAAGGAAGATTTCCGAGTTGTTACCCATAATAATAAAAATTCCGTATCTACCGTTACAGATTTATGGAATTTATCAGAGGCCATTTCTTTCCAATCCTCCACACTTAAAATATTCGTGGAAAATTCGTCCGAATTTCTTCTCTCTTTTGCCCAATTTCCAGCACGCGCGTTTCTTTACACATAATTTTCTCAATGTCCCCGGAAGGCGTGCGGAACAAGAGATACGAGGAGAGGGGCGATAAACTTTGGCCGCAAAAATAACATAAATCGTGGAAAAATCGTGGGGGAGGGGACTGGAGGAGAGAAGGCTGGAAACGAAGGGGAGGTCGGCCGCGGTGTTTGTGCGGATGGCAGATCGGACTGGACCCCAGAGGGTGGGGTGGGGTGGACACGCTGGAGCCAGGAATTTTAACAGGCGAGGTGTAGGCGAAATAGTCGGGGGTTGGTTGGCCGGCCGCCAGAGTTCTCGGCTCACATCGGACAACTATTTTCCTAATTTTTCCATTTCTTTTGACCTTCCATCCGCTTTCCCTGTTTTTCTTTTTCTTTTTTTTTTTTAAATCATCGTCCAATTTTTTTGAATCGAGCGAGATAAAAATTTTTAAAGCCCGCGTTTGCTCGTTTCGTATGTTTCTCTCGTGTATATATATATATACATATACACGTATAATGTACAAAGCATGTATAGCGTATAGTTTGATCATTCGTTTTATCTACGAGCGTCTCGACTCTGTATTCGCTAGCCGATTCGTAGCACGTTGTTTACATTAAAACTGTGCCTGCGATCCAAGAGACGCGCTTCGATCCAATCTTACGCTGCGGTGAGGCCAGGCCTGTTTGCAAAACAGCAAAAATATCGAATACTAGAACGAACAATTAGCGAAAACCCAGTACAGTAGATGTATACACACCCTCCCTAGAGAACACTGTTCATCGTTTGCAGACGAATTTGCATGAATTTAATCTGTTCGCAGTTAATAGATGATCGAGTTTCGAAAATTATTTGAAAATAACACCGGGGAACCTCGATTGGGAAAGAATTTACATCGTACACGTGTAAAATGTGAATGAAAGCAAAAAAAAATAGAGAGAGAGAGAGAGAGAGAGAGAGAGAGGAAGGAAGANAGA